GAGGTATTTTCATTAGATGAACAAGGTTCTGTAAGGATCAACAAAGTTTACACGACCAAGAAACTTCCGATCGATCATGCAGCACCTTTAACCGAACTCCAACTGAAACGGTGGAAACATCTTAAGGACATAACCCTTCCGAGATTGCAAAGTAAGTTAGTAGGAATATTGATTGGGTGTGATGCTCCGGATGCACATTGGGTCCTGGAACAACGTCTGGGGGACAGGAAGCATCCGTTTGCTGTGCGTACTCATCTTGGTTGGATGATTATAGGTCCTAGGGGAGTATCAAGGTCTCTACATCAAGTTCAGTGGTGTCATTGTTCCACTAATGATATTTTGCGGGATTTAGAAAGACTATATAATCATGAGTTCGAGGATACAGGTACGTTTCGTAATGGATATTCTGTTGAAGATAAAAAAGCTCTAGAAATAGTTAGCAGTCCGTTTAGATTGGAGGGTGGTCATTTCCAAGTTGGTCTACCATGGAAGTATGATAAGCCAAGACTACCGAATAATTTGGAACTGGCTGGACGCAGACTGGAATGCTTAAGGAGGAGGTTTATGAAAGATAACAGTCTTTTGGAGAAATATCAAGTTGTGATGAATAAACATTTAAGAAAGGGCTACATCTTTGAAGCTAGTGAAGAGGGATTTGACTATGACGCTGTTTGTTGGTATATTCCTCATCATCCTGTTATCAACCCTAAGAGGCCTGGAAAATTGAGAATTGTTTTTGACTGTGCGGCTGTCTATCAAGGTTGTTATCTTAATGACCAGCTTTTGAGAGGACCGAATACTGTAAATAGTTTAATTGGTGTACTTCCACGATTCAGATTAGGTAACGTAGCATTAGCTGCTGATATCAAGGAGATGTTTCTTCAAGTAAAGATTCCGAGACAAGACAGGGGAGCATTTCGTCTATTGTGGTGGGAAGACGGTGATATACGACGAACGGCTAAGGCAAGAGTAGCCCCCTCGAAGGTCCAAGCTATACCGCGCTTGGAACTTACAGCAGCAGTTTTGACAGCTCGCATGGGATCCCAGCTGCAGTCAGAATTAGATATTAAGTTGGCAGAGGTTAATTTTTGGACGGATTCTATGATTGTCTTACACTATATTAGAAATGAGAAAAGCCAGTTTAAAACATTCATAGCAAATCGAATTTCGACTATTCAGAGTCTTACTAAGGTGGACCAATCGAGATTCGTACCTTCTAAAGAAAACATATCGGACTTTGCATCCAGAGGGGTCAAGTTTGACATTGATGATGTCAAGGTATGGGAGGAGAGTCCACGTTTTCTCAAGAAGCCGAAGGAGTGTTGGCCTGCCGATGATGTACAAGGTCCTGACCCTCATCTATTGGAAATAAAGAAAGCAATGTCGGCGCATGTAATGGCTGAAAAATCCACTGTTGATCAACTTATTAATTATTATTCAGATTGGACTAGATTACTTAAGGCTGCTGCGTGGTTAACCCGATTTAAGCTATATTTACTGGTAATGCGTTCTGGTACAACTGATCTGTCTCAACAGGTGGGTATGCTTAGATTTGATGGGTTAAATTTCGCTTGTTTAGATTTAATTCTATATGTCCAACGCATAGTATTTCGGAAAGAGATTGAAATGTTATCGTCTGATACCATTAGCAAGGTGAAGTTAACGAATTCACCGTTACGAACTTTAAATCCAATGATGATTGGAAGATGGGCTTTATGTTCTGCGGACTCAAATAGTTGTTTGTGTGTGAATATGCAATGGTGCCTGAAGCCATGTGTTATGGTTATTCATTTTCTAAAAGAACTGGAAGGGTCCAATGTTACGATTTGGAATCAGAATAGAGAGTTCGCAGTAAATAAACGAATTAATGGATTGGTCCTCTATATGTGTTTATATATTCATGTTTACGTTAGCGTATATGAGCTTCTATGGAGGATGAAGCATTTTGTTAGATGGTTGATATTGCGATTGTTTATGTTGGCGCAAATATTTTGGAAACGTTTGTCTAAGGAATATGTTTCATTGTTGCAACTTAGACACAAATGGACTCAACCAGAGATGAACATAGGAGAGAGTAACTTGGTGACGACATGTACTGGGTTTTTAGAGAAAGACAAATGGTTATTAGGTCTGGTAATGAAAGTGATACCTAATAGTGATGGGTTAAGACCGATGGAGTTGCGGACAAGCGTAGGGATCTTGGTAAGAGATATTAGAAAACTGCGTCTAGAAGTTGTAGATATTAGGTAGCTACTCGGATCCCTAGGCGTACTGGTGTAAGTCCTAGGGATCACGAGATTGTTGGTATAGTGAGTGTTTGTTGTTGATTGTTTGTGATGCATATATTTGGATTCTTGTTGTCTATTTATTTGTCTGTGAAAAGAACCAAGGTTCTTTTGGTCGGGAGTGTTACGGGAGAACTGAAGACATTTGGCGGATTAAAACCTTTTATTGTACATTAACAATTTACTGTGTTTTTTGGATGTAATTGTTTTACTTAACTTTTGAACTTGTTTGTTTATATCATTATTTCGGACATTTTGGTTTGTCTTTGGCTTGGTATTTGGGAGTTTTGCTCCGGGAACCTACAAAATTGAAGGTTTGTTTTGTAATTGTTATAATTATTGTTATTAGAACGACATTTGGTCGACTATTTGTAAATTACGAATAAATTTGGTATCTAAATTGGAACTTGGTTTTGTTGTTAATTTGGGTTCGTAATTTGCAAGTAGATCGATTGTCCGTACTTCAATAACTGGAACGAGCAAAACTTGGACGTAACAGACAGTGACCGGAAGTTTCTGTACATTGATAGTGGTAACCTATTATGAAGAACCACAGGTCCTAAGTATAATAAGAACAACCGACATGCAGTGGCTTTCCATACAGAAACTTCAAAAAGTGAACGACATTTCCGTTGAAAGTCGCATGTAGTGTGCTGTCTACATAAGTCTAGTGCATCATTTATGGATGCGATAATAGATTGATCCATCCTATTAGGTCGCTTAATAGCTACTTCCATAATGAAATAAGTTTTTTAGTAACACCTAAGTATATCATATGCGTCGGTTCCGATGGAAAACACTTTATCATATCCGATGGCAGATTTTCAAATGAACTTCTACCACGATGATGGATAGATGGGAACCTACTACGAAAAGTGACATCACTTCTTAAGTCAGGTTCACCATTGAGGAAAGTCATTCGACCACCCATTCGCGTCCCTAAAACCTGACATTTGTCACAGCTAGCGGTAGCGTTATGTCCAACAACATATCTGACGTTACTGCGAGCTGGAGCGTCACAAATAACAGCAGTCAATTTAACATTAATACCTACCGTCAGCAACCCTTGTAACTCAGTTATAAGTGCTGCTGACATGTTGAAATCAGATGGTTTTACTTCACCTGGATATATCGCACGACAAAAGGTCCAATATTTGAGCAGCCTTGTTTATGCTTATGTAACAACCTTTCATCATCTCAATGACTTTTCTGTCTGACTGTTCTTTGATTCAAAGATGAACGGCTGGAGATATTTCTGACATCACACAACCTATAAATTTTTAATAATTAGACTGATACTACCGCTGATTGTGTTGTTTAAACGCTGGACGTAACTACATGAAGCAGTAGCTGTATCTGTGACAATATTAGCCCACTGCTCTGTAGCTACGGTAGTACGCGATTCTGTGACGATAACTGGATTGTCTGTCTCTTCGTCACAGCTCGGTAACTGACACCTCTTTATAAACTGTGCTTTTAACTTCTTCAACCTTTTGTAATGAGTTGCTCGGGAACAGCCAAACAACCTCAGGTATTTTGCAGCTTCAGTCCGCCTTTTTGCAATCTTATCTACCTGTCTATTATTATTCTGAAAGAAATAATTGACTTAAGTAAGACTGAACATAGACAGCAACCAAATTTTTCGACCTGCACTGCTAATAACTCACCTGCATAGCTTTCGAACTTTGAAAAAGTGGTTTACGACCGACAACTCTTTGTCTCGTGTCTGTTTGTTGATGTATTAAAATAAGACCTGAAATTCAATAGACTATCCCTCACCAAAAGTCTGTAATGCATAAAAATTTAAATTTATTTATTGAAATTTACTACTTTGAGGCTTATATTATGTAGATGAAATGTTAGTGTGCGAAAATGCGCTACGAACATTTTGGGGATTTTCCCCAAAATTTCCCCAAATATTGGGGAAGGTTTTTCACTTCGGGGATTTCCCAAAAATTTCCCCAAAGCTGGCAGCTTGGGCTAGACGATCATGCCTGAATGTCCATTTTATCATCTCAACCAAAGCAATTAATTTACGGGATATTGCTCGTTTATGTTCCGATGATCCTGATTTTACCGCTCGCAGATAAAAATCATGATTGCTATTAAGTATACTACTTTACCTTCCTTAGACTGAATATCAAGTTAATGATAAAGTTCAGGCATTCCATAGCAATTTGCGCAGAAAGAAAGTACTTCATCACCATCACTCGATGTTTAGTCTGTAGTGGCATTGGGCCCTAACCCACAACCGTCAAAGCTGAACACGAGACTACTAGGAAAATAGATATGCAATATTTAACGCGGAGAAAAACCCAACGACTGAGAAGGCGGGAACAATGAATTAAAATGAATTCAAATTGATCAGATGGCATCGCTAACCTCTTGAGCATTGTCGCTCTGTACATATTTCTGCTACTCATATTAAATATATGTTCTATACCCAGCCTGAATGTGTTCTCCATTAATATTGGTAATTATTGCGATACGATGAGTCAAAGTATAATGATGTGACTTTCAGAAGATCTTATAAATTAGGGCAGTTATATCATGACAAATCCACAATTTTGGGATTAGGTCTATTACTAGAGCAGTACT